GCAATGCAGAGTAAGTAAAAATGGAAGAAACAAATCATTGATATCATTGAAATAACACTTTTCCTGCACATAATTTCTGCCCTAAAACACAGCCATGCCATCAAAAACTTTCTGTTTTGCAGGAATCCTAATCCTAACCCTAGCTTTGGGTTTGCGCTAGGTTAGGGCTAGAGTTCAGAATTTCTTCAAAGAATTAGTGCAACCTTCCACTCATTTGATTGCAAAATATGCAGTACTTACTGAAACAGAATATTTGTCAGACATGGTTAAACAAACACTCCAAACGAAAGAGAACGTACCAACAAGAGTAAAATTCTATGTTTTCACAAGTGTTCTACTATTGTTGGATGGTGATCACAATGAGCTTGGTTTTGGGCTTACATTACAGTACTGTAGATACTGTACATTGTTTACTCCATGATACAGGGTACTACTTTTTATGAAGGACTTATTGTCTTCCAAATGAACTTGGTTGTCAGTAGAGTAATTGAAGAGAAGTGTTACTGCTTGAAACTTTCAATAGGTAGAGAAAAGTCCTTGCAATATCATTTATAATTAGTAAACGGACAAGACATGTCAGGGTCATGTACTGTATTTTTCCTTAAACATTTCTAATTTATAAAAAAAATGAAACAGCTGTAACATGTGGTTTCCTATCTCTGTCCACATAGTTAAATATCATATTTCTGTTTTAGTTAAAATCTTATTTTTCTTTTGATGTTTTTATCACAAGTGCTTAAAAGTTTAAAAAATACTACATTTAGTACATTGAGAGAGTCTTTATTATCCCCAATGGGACAATTTGTTATATTTACTTAAGCTATATCAGTATTTCAAGGTTAGGTGGATTTGCTTTTATTGTAAAGTGATGTACACTTTCTTATAGGAAATTTAGATTCTTTTAAAGTAAAATGTTATTCCTGAATTAATAAAGGTAAGATTGGGAGGAAATGGCCATTCCAGGTAAGTTCTTTACACAGATTTTATTCTAATTAAATAATTATACATCTTACTAATCATGTTATCATTTGGGTCCCTTTAAAAGTCTGCCTTTAGTAACCTGAGCCCGGAATTAAGTGGTCCTCCAATCCCATCACAAGGAAGTATTTTATTAATGAGTGCAAAAGCTGTTTCGTCATTCGGAGACTGTGGCTTTTATCTTTTGAAAAGCAATATTCATCACATTTTGTTCCACAATTGTAACTGCTTTCACGAGCGTTTGGTCCACTGTAACATTTCATTCAGTTATGTACAATATAAACAGATTTAATACACTGCATTTCTTTTAGAAAATGTGTCCCTATGTTATAACATAATCCCACTAAGAGCTACTTTGGCTCTCAGCCACTGTGCACACACAGTTACTCTTTGATCTCCTAGCAGATGGGTGGGATGAAACCACTGTTTTCAAAACCCTCTTTTCCTCTCTCTAAGTCACACATAGGGTATTAATATTTTAGACTGCCTCACTTTCCAGATGAACATGTAGTGTGCATGTATCTAAAATGACATATGAACAAGATAACGTTTACTTCCGATATTTGAAAATCCCAGACTGCAAACATCCGTCACTTAATGTAAGATTCCACAATAATGTTTCATCAATGATGGGTGTGGCAGAAGCTTTCTGTAATTTCTTCTGTAATGTTGTGGATTTCTGACCTTTTGACTTGCCATCATAGTGGGGTCAGTCTTCCCTTTCACAAGCCTTAGTTTTCATCTGGAAACTCTTTATGGTCAGTGAACAGGAGAATTAGTGGAATGTATGGATGGCACTGACACAAAGCAAAGCCTTTAAACCAGTGATAGCACATTTTCACATGTGCTTGCTTCTGGTCATTCAAATGGAACAACTAAGAACAAACTAATTATTTTTACTTAAGATCCCACCGACAGACCAGAGGAATTTAAAAAATAAAACAACTGAGTTTACAACCTAAGCTATAGTGTTGCTGGTGTTCTATTGTTTAAGTTTTATTTTTTAATCAACAGTTTAATGTTCAAACTGTAGTGCAAAGTCATTTCTCACTCCAATGTTTGCTTTAGAATGCACTCAGCAAGTGTATCTTAACATACTGGAACAGCCAAAAACCTTATCGGCTTCTAATAGTCTCATACTATCATTTTCTATATTTTTAAATACAATTACTTTTGCGTATAATGAAACATGCTGCATTTCAATAAAGAATTACATAAGGACTAAAGGTTAATATTTATGTGGACAAGTTGACAAAGTAGCATGGTAATTGTTTTGATCCCAGATTTTGCAATCAGATTTTTTGTAATATTTACTGTCTTATTAATGTAACAGAAAATGATGTGCTAGAGACACTCAACTATTAGAGACCGCTCATCCACGTGGGTCCTAATGCCCCAGTATAGTGATGGGGACACTATACTGTAAACAGGCGCAGTCCTTCGGATGAAAACAAGAGGAAAGAAAAACCATGCTTCCATCAGGGACGAGAGAAAAGCCAGGACTTCTTCACAAACAAGAGGGAGGGATCTGTATTTCATGCATCCCTGCTTTTATTGGTTTTTAATGTAGTCCGTATGTGTAGCTTTAGTGATGAGACGAAAAACCGAGGTCCTGACTCTCTGTGGTCATTAATAATCCCAGGGCGTTTCCCAAAAAGAGTAGGGGTGTCACCATCCTGGCCAAATTTCCGATTGGCCCTTTCCAAACATGGCCTCCTAATAATCCCCCTATATGAATTGGCTACATTACTCTGCTCTCCTCCTCACTGATAGCTGATGTGTGGTGAGTGTTCTGGCGCACTATGGCTGCCGTCGCATCATCCAGGTGGATGCTGCACATTGGTGGTGGTGGAGGGGAGTCCCCATTACCTGTAAAGGGCTTTGAGTGGAGTGTCCAGAAAAGTGCTATATAAGTGTATATTATTATTATTATTATTATTATTATTATTATTATTATTATTATTATTATTACATATATCTGAACCTACTGTAAGACATTTATAGAATGACTGAAGCTTTTAATAAAATAAATTAAAAAGGGTTACGATCAATTGAAGATGAATCAATTAATCCTCAGGATTTTGGATTATTACACTCATTGATTACTGCACTCATTGATAGATTTTCCACATAATGTAATAAAAGTAGAGTGTGCAGGAAGAAAATATTAAACATCTTAATGTCACAGAGAAGTAAGGCAGGAAAACATTGCATTTAATTCCTTTCCTTTCATAATAGTATCACATCTGAAGATCAAGGGTGCAGATTTCTCTTCTAAGGAAATGTGTTAATATAAACCTGTACCATGACAGCAAATGTACTGAATAAAATGGTCCTATTCTTCTATTATTATTAAATGATAAATTGTTTAAATTGTACGTGAAAGTAGCATACTGTATGAAATATTAGGTGTTATTGACAAGTACAGTACTTGTAAAAATGTACCATTCCATCCTTTTGAAGTCTCTCACTGAAGTTGCATATTATTATAGTTATTAAATAATCCTTTAGATTGGATTAATAATAAAAACATAAGAAAGGTCTAGAAACGAGGAGTTTGGGATATTCGGCCAATCTTGCTCGTTTCGTGATTAGTAGAAAATCTTGAATTACATCCAGCCATTTCCAATGGTACCCAGAGTTTGTGCCTCAAGCAGCTGGCTGGGATGCCTGTTCCAGATACCCACAACTATTTGTGTAACAAAGTGTTTCCACCCAAAATGAATTCCCCTTAAAGGTTAATTGAGTCTTAATTTCTCAGACCGATTATTAAAATTACAAACGAAATTAATTGACAATATCGCAAAATTGACGAATTCTGAATTAAGTACAAGATTGTGAATTTTGTGAAGGTACTACAGAATATGGTCAAAATGTTTTGGCAAACCATTGGTCTTGACATGGGCATGAGCGAGAGTTCAACGTGAAGTGAAGCTGCCCTTCCTGCTCATTAGTCACTGTAAGGATTAATGTAATATCATGAATGAGAAAATAAGTACAGTTTGTGCAGCAGACTTTTCAATACGATTGAAATTGAAATGGTGTTTAACGGGAAAATCATCTCAAAGTTGAGAGCAATATTTCTGTTGGATCAACAGAGATGTACAGTATTCATAAGCCTGCTTGTTTACAATATACTGTACAATAAAAGGGTCGCTACATGTCACCGGAAGCTTTGTTGCCTCGTTCTGAATCGCAGACAATGACAGCAATATGGGGCTATCCATATTTGAAAATTTCATCTATTTTGTGATGTAAATTGGCAGTTTTATAAGTTACTGTGTACATTTTACTTTTATTATGGCTTTAAATTCACTCATCAACGGTGATTCTTTCTATCCCTTAAAGATAAAAATAGCGTTGCATTTACCCTTTAAGTTTTCAATATTGTCTTCTTGATCTTGATTCACTACTCTCTGTGAAATAGTCCTCGAGGTTTAAACTCATTAGTATTTTCTGTTAATCTCCTCTGTTCCAGACTAAAAAGATTTATCTCCCTCAACCTGTCCAAATATGACAGCTCCATTATACCAGAATTCTAAGATCAAATAAGATACAGCTTAGTTTTCCTTTTTTGAGGCATGTGAAGATATCTTTCCATTACATATGTTCAGATAGGGATCCCTCTCTGAGAATATACAGTGGTTTCAGAATGGAAGTAAGCAAAACTTGGTGTTAAAATGAGAAGTAGCCTTTACCTTGTATTGATTATGGATCCACCACAAATTTGTAAATTTGAACTGAATATTCTTATTTTTTATATTATTCATGTTAGTGTCAAAACAGCTTATCTAAGTCACAGTCCTCGATTAAATGTGTTTCTAGAAGTTTCTTTGGAGGTTGTAATTCTGAGCTACTGAACAACCCAAATTGTCCAAAAACGTTTCCAGCTACCTTTAGAATTTTCTTTGTATTATTCTGCCTAATGAAAATATGGGATCTTTCAAAGTTAATATCATAGCTGTTGTGAATTGGTTGGTTTCCCAATAGAAATGTTGTCCCTTTATTTTCTGTCTCTGCAGGTAGCATCGTGTACTTGGGAATGATGGTAGGGGCATTCTTCTGGGGCGGCCTGGCTGACAAAGTGGGCCGGAGGCAGTCACTTCTAATCTGTATGTCTGTCAATGGATTCTTCGCTTTCCTCTCCTCCTTCGTTCAGGGCTACGGATTTTTCCTCCTCTGTCGGTCAATTTCAGGATTTGGGTAAGTGTTTTTGCCCCAAGATACTTTGTACTTGAGTGTTGTCTTGGGAGAATGAATGAATGAAGTGCTGTACAAACAGCAACAGATAATTATTCCAATGCTGTTTGTAATGTGTGGATTTCTTTGTTAATTAGAAAAATTTGAACTTTAGTTTAAGATTGAGGAGAATATTGTAAACAAACAAAAACAAGACAAGATATTGTTTCCTGCATAAGGAATTACAAGGTGTAAATATTATTGACTTGGGAGGAATACTGCAATGATACCACTATAAATATTTTCATTTGTTTTGAAACTCTGTTTTAACATGCATTGGCCATATTACAAGAGTATGTACTCTTGGGTTGTTATACAAGTTTTCAGCACTCACACGATAGAAATGGTTGTTTCTTGCCTCAAATTCAGAATATTTATATTTGCTCGGCATTATACAGTAGCTCACTTGAAGAGATGGTTCTTGATTTGTGCACAGGTCTATTCCAGTTTGGGCTAGCCAAATCCAAATAGTTGTGGTTCTGAAGCTAAGAAAAAACTTAAATTAAAAAAGGAGAATAATTTAAAATAATAGACTGCAAGCATTAGAAATTATGTTTTTGGATGATGTGTGGTTCTTAGTTTCTGAGAGGAACTACTTAAAAAGACTGCTAGAGTGGCCTCAGTCTTACAATAAGTCAAGAATTGCTTTAAGTGCAAATTTCCTTTGCCTTCATAACTTTTCCCCAGTTACTGCCTGTCATTTATTTGAGGTTAAGGAACAAGCAGTGCCTATTTTTGCTGTCTGGCACAAGACCATAGCTAAAATGGGAAATAAAAAAGTCTGCATAGCCAAGTAAATGTGCGTCATTGCATTTCAATATTAATTTAATTCATTTGGCTGTTCTTGTCCTTGCTTCTAAATGGTTTTTTGCTTGCCAAAACAGGACCTGCCAACTCTCTGACTTATGGCTGTGATAGCATGAGGGCAATTAAGAGAATTCGTAGCAACTGTCAAGGACAGAAAGTAATTCTTGGAGACTTTTTAAAAGTCTTCAATCTTTCTTCAATATGCATTGTACATACAGTTAACAAAGCAAATCCAGCCTCATTAGCATAATGCAATTCCACATTCAGAACCATGTAGGAACCATGTTAGAAATTAAACTCCTTAAAGCAAGCAAAGCATTCTAAAGCACTCCATAAAGAAAGGATTATACAAATAAGGCAGTCTAAAAGATAGTAGCTGTCTGAAAAAGGTAATGATTTTCCAAACAAAATATACTTAAATTTAAAACAAGAACACAGTTTCAGTTTCATAGGTCCAACTTATACAGTACTGTATATTTTCTTGTATTATTTTGTAACTGTCGATTTAAGTTTTTTCTCCTTCTCTGCCCATCTGGACACCCTGTAATGTCTGTCAGTGTAATTGTTTAAATTATCACTTGCATTGATTTTCAGCAGAAGACAGGGCATGACTCTATACACATGTATTATTATCTTTCATTTTCTTCTTTTTACCTTAGCTGTTCACTAAAAAAATAAATGACTGTTCAAATTAAAGCTGTTGGATACTTTGCATTTCCAAACTACAATGAGGAACAAAGAAATAGAAATTTTCCACTCTACATCATAGTGCATTCATTCTTCCATAATTGCATTAATTTGCTGTAATAAATGCTATGCATGCTTTCTCCTAAGGCTAGTTATATGAATTGTTACATTTTTTTAACTTCATTACAATCTGTACTTTAGCGTTGACAAAGTAAAGCAAATGGAACAGTTTAAGTTCTATTATCAGTCTAATATAAGTCATTTGGTGCTATACTGTAACAAACAGCTGACATACTGTACAGTTTGTACTAGCTGGTTACAGCGTGGTGATGGCACCGCCCTCTACTCCCCTGCACTGAACAGGGATGTTGGCCTCCAAGGCTGGGGAAGGCCTTCTTTAGCTCAGCTGGCAATATCCCCGTTGAGTGATGCCAGAGACCCAGGTTTGATCCTGAGGCATGGGACGAACTGGGAGTGGCAAGGGCAGAAACCACAATAAACTTGCTGCTCAATTCGAGGTGGAGCTAATGTGAAGAATGTAGCTATGTTTTGCACAAAGGGGGACAAAGTTCTGACAATACCAAGAGTAGGTCTTGGCTTCAGCTTAATCATGCACCTATTGATGCCTTTTGCACAGAAAGAGATATTGACAACTTGATTGAGACATCTAAAAGCCATAAACACTACTGTTGTAATAATAATGAACGGGATAACTTTAAATCCATTACAAACAATAAATGCTTTATTTTCTAGCCAGTGAATAAAGATGGTGACTGTGCTTTTAATGACTTAAACATTATTTGATCCTATGCTTTATACAAAACTACAAGGCGATTCTTTTCCTAACTTAAAGTCAGAAATTATTTCTCTTCAGTTTGAACTGGTTATCATTCAGAGTTTGAACATACAGGTAAATACTTGAATAACCTAAATCCATATTGTACAGTATGTTGTGCTCAATGTACAAGAAACATTAGTAGATCCACCAGGAAGTCTTATAGTTACAGGCAGCTCTTTAGTGGAACAGTTCTCTGTTTATATACAGTAGATATGAATTTGACACCATTAGTGAAAAATTTGACTTCTTATCTTAAAGATACTGTGGATGTTCTTGAACATTCATTTAACTTAAAGTTAGAAGGGCACTACTGTATATGCTTTTGGTTGTACTAGAGGTCATTATTTACATTTCCCCATAATAAAGGTTAAGCATCAGTTTAATATAATGAGTCATTAATCAAAATTGGTGATACTTATAATCTTCCCATTAGTGTTTTGGGATTTGTATTCTTACAAAAAATTAATTGATATATGAACACAATGTTTAATTACACAAACTGTGTTTTCTCATGATAGGCTAAGTGCATTTTTAGACTCTAGGGTTACATAGTATCAAAGTGAGAAACATAATGCCCATTCTATTAGACCTACTGATACAGTACAAATAGCTTTTTTTTCACTTGCTGCAACCTATCATACCATGTCTTTAAAAAAGGACTACTGCACACTCAGATCCCTGGAGTGAAACATATTTGTACATAAGATGATTATTTTGAATTAGGAGCTAACAAATTGCTGGTATACAGTATATACTAAACAAAATACAGTACATCCTAGAGGCTGCCTACAGTAAATGAGACCCTAAGTAAATGCATTCAAATGTAAATCCTTGCATAAAGACTATGAAGACTAATTCTGCTTGTGTTTACTGTACCTCATTACATATTCTTTGGAAATACTGTACAAAAGTTACAAGGAAACATTGACTTGTCTTATCTTTGTAGTTTTGTACTAGTATCATGCACTATACTGTTAGAGGCCAAAATTGATGACTGATTCATTATTATAATGCAATATAAACTGTTTACATAGAGAATTTACTGTGAATTCATCTGTGAAGTCAACTACTAATAGAAATTTATCCTTGTTATATACAGTATGTCTAGTTTCATAATTCCATAATTGTCTCGTGTGCTTTGTACTGTGTATTTGTAGCTGTGCTATTTCATTGAATACCTTGATTAATTACTAGACGATAGACTTGCCTGACATTGGTTCTCCTGAATATGGTTATATGAACTATACTGATGTAGTCACAAGACTTTTAGGTCACAGCACAAAGGAAAGCTGAAACATTTGCATGCTCTTCGCTCTACAGCATATCTTGAGCATGTGTCTGTGATGATTAAAAAGGTTATTATACTGTATCTGTTCAGTTCTGGCATTTCCAGGTCTGTTTTTTTTGCCTTTCTATTTGGTGCCTCATTTGTTGGTGATTGCAAAAATGTACAGTATATACTGTAAGAAGTGGAGTCCAGCAAATCTTCCAGAGAGAAGTAACGTTTGACAAAGGAAGTCATTGCCATCTGTGTTGAAGAATGGAGTCAGATCATCCTTCATTTATTCTCCACTTCAGATAATCCTTGATTTATTCTCCACTAAATGTGGTAGACACAGGATACTGCCCAGTTTATGAAAGTAATACTTTCAGTCTGAACATGTCCCATTTTTGGCAGCTTATCAATTTCTGTTGCCCTAGGATGGCAGCCTGTGTTAACCACTGAAGCTCTGCCTGTGAATGAATAAAGATGTGCTCACAGTGAAGAAAATACAAATGCTCCCGTGTCAATCTGGCTGGGGGGGGGCAGAGGTCATATATCTTGAAATATCCTTGACCAGTACAATCAATTTGGTATGCTTATCCAAATCAGCCTGATTCCCATCTTGCAAAGCAGTGCACTTAGTCTAATGCAAAAATCATTCTTTTCAAGTTATTTTGAAATTAATATTTTTCATCTTGTATTTTGGAAAAAAATATTGATCATGTACTTGTGTGAAAAGTATCACATATGTACACGATAGCTTTGATGGTTCAGTAATTTAGCCATTAAATATTAAAACAGACTGTTTCATTTCTAGCTGTGTGGTGTTCCATGTTACAGGAAGGTGTTCTGGTGTTATACACTTAATTGATGAATGTGTCTGTATAAACATATAGAATATCCAGTTGTGCACAAATCTTCAACACAATCAGGACTTACAATATATGCATTTTATGAGCATAAATGATTTGCTCAGCCTCCACTAGTGTTTTCTACTACTATCAAAAATTGAATTCTGTTACTGTAATACAGCTTAATTTATATACGTAGTATCCTGAACAAAAAAAATATCAGACTATTTAAAAAGCTCAATATAGGCAAACTATAGATGAAGGCAAATCTGAAATATTATAGAAGCTACTGTAATCCATCACATTTATCAATTAAATATAATTGGGAAATTGACAGGTGTTCTTCATCATTAACATTATTTCTTCTAAAATACAGATGTATAATAAAGGATCAAATTAAAGTAGATAACATTTCAGTAGAAGATCATAAAAGAATTGTTTCTGTGAAACAAGCTGAAATTTAATGCAATTTGATCCTGTAGGAGCAAAATAATATTGTTTTGTTTCCATAGTGCAAAAAGACCTTTGCCCAGCAGTGAACATGGGGACATTAATAAATGTGTGTTGTCTGCTCTCTTACTTACTGTATATTCTCACAGCAGTTTAAACTAAACATACTGTAAGCTATTAACACAATAAAATCAGTTTTCACAGAGCAGGTAATTGTACTTGTAGCTCAGGTGGTCAACACAATTTGTAGTTGGTGGGAGCAGTTTTCTGTATTACCTTAAAACATAACTAGAAAAGAATGAGGATTATATTGTGCTTCTTTCTTTTATGAAAACTTCAACATGCTGACCATTACATTCTGATTGTACACTGATTGAACAGGGTTCAGTGTTCTACAAAAAATGATCATATTCTCACAACTTTCATGTTAATTGAATGCCTTCACAAGATTGCATGGTATTTGTAATCTTGATGGTCATGTGCTACTGTACATACAAACATCCATGTGGTGAAATATTGAAAATGATACTGGAATCCTTATCATCAAAAACACAATGTGTCTGTTTTGATGAATAATAGGGTGAGAAAGAGTGAGTGAATAAGTGAATAGCACAATTATCAAACACTAATACACTGGTTTAGCTTCTCAGTTTTTTCCCATCATGCAGGTACAGTAAATGGTTGACTTTGATGTCGCTGTATAGATGAATAGTCTTATTTTATTTACATTTCAAATAAGAGTTTAATCAATGAAACTGATGGTACAATATATATCTCCTATGAAGGCACCACTAATGTTCTCTAAATCACCATTATATGTTATTCACATACTGTTAGTGCTTGCCTGTAGTACAGCACATCAACTGATGATTGGCTTATTTAGACCAATTTTCCCCCAGACCCCATCTGGACTGTGTACCCTGTTTTAACTCAAGTCACATTGCATTGTTAGACAAAGCAACAAACATCTGATGCTATTACACATGTAATGGCGTTCTGTTAATGTCACATGTCTCATATCATACATCTTTAAATTTTCACGTTAATCATTCCGTTTCCTTGTTAGCATTGATATCCTTTTTGCTATCTCATTTTGTAGCATCATTTTGAATGATTAAACAGAAAAAAAGTTTTAAACCTACCAAGGGCCCACTCAGGTTTGACCATGTAATGAGTGGCATTATTCCCAGGATGCTATGCATGTAGCACAATTTAATATATACAATACTAAACTCCACCATGTCCCTGGAGACATCATCATCTGACATAATTTATACTGTGATGTAAGATGAATGCTTTTACACATATTATATGCAGCAGAATAAATAACCTAACCTATCATGTCAAACAGGCTGGTCCTCTGGGATCTTTAACTTTATCTTTCTAGAAGATAAGGTTTTGTCAATAGTCTTCCAGTGAGCTGATACAGATAATGGGCCACACAACTTCTCTTGTTTCTAACCTTTCTTATCTTCCTATTTTTCTGTTGGAAGAACCTATATTGTTCATAAGGCCATATGTAATTGAATATACTGAATACATTCATATTCAGTAAATTATACTTATTATGTATTATGTAGCAAAAGTGGTCTGATCAAAGTACAGCAGTAGTCAATTTATTAGAATGCTAAGCTCCATCCGTCCACTTTCCAACTGCTTTCAGGGTTGTGGGGGAACCAGAGCCTATCCTGACAAGCAACAAGCACAAGGCAGGATACAGCCTGGATGGGATGCCAGTCAATTGAAGGGCAGACTCCAATATTAACACTCACAAACAGTACTCATACCAGGACCCGTTTTACCAGGAACTAATTACCCAGCCAGTATGTTTTTGGACTATGGGGAAAACAGGAGTACCCAGAGAAATCCCACATGAACACAGGGAGAACATATCCACGCAGATAACATCCTGGGAATTCAACCCAGGGCCCCAATACTGCAGGATAGCCATCCTGACCACTGCGTTACTGTGCCACCAAAAATGCTAAGCTTTCAATGAAAAGGAATTGTTAGTTGCTGTTGTTTGGTTGTCATGGGTTAACAGCTTATAAAACCAAAATGCTTCAATATTTATGCAGTGTTGGGAAGTGTCCAGGCCTCATCTCTTAAATTCCATTTGACCTGTCAGAAAATAAAATCCTTGCATTGCTTAGTTATGGGAAATATCAATTTTGCATAAATAAATTAAACTAAAGCCAATTTATTGTCCCTATTTTTGTCACAGTCCCAAAATGGTAAAGCCAGTCAATTTATTTAATATACTACTGGCTGTCCTGATTCTAAATCAGTTAAATGCAAAAGCCCATTGAAGGACTAGGACAACAGAGTTCCCATACCAATAGAAAAACTGCAGTCGTGTTTTTGATCATGTCAGCTTTAAACAAAGTGCCTCTTCTCCTGCTTTAGATAACAGTCTTCACCTGACAGAAGATACATTACTTTACCTTGATCAGTCTGTATTGCAGTGCTCATTTCACTTTACCTCCTGGCTTTCTTCCAATAGCAAACGAACACTGAAGTACCTGCAATCCTGTAATTAACTCAATAAATGTCCCAATTAATATGTTTCATGGTCTAAAGCATGAGACAGATTTTTTGTTCTTTCAGCTGCACTGCGGTGCAATGTGACTAATAAAATACAGATCTACAGTACGTAGACTCTAATAAGTATGTAGAATGCAGTCATTTGTATTTTTTTCTCCCATTTTATGTCTGTTTTACATTTTTCCCATTTAGCCCTTATCAATAGTTTTACTATTCACCATATTAAATAATTAACTATCTTCAAGGAATAGACTACCTTATGCTTATCTGAAGGGATGACATGGAGGCCTAGTGGTAAGCACTGTTGTCCTGGAGACCTGGGACTCGCGGTTCAATGTCAGACCTGGGGAGCTTTTCGCCTAGTGCTCTGGTTTCCTCTGGAGACATTTTGGAGGCCACATAACTGTAGGTCAATTGGCTTCTGGGAAAATTGACCCTGGTGTGAGAGTGACCATGTGTATTTACAGTATGTCTGTGTGTCTGCCCTGAGATGGACTGGCATCCTCGTGCCAAGTGTATCCTGTCTTGTGTCTGTTGCCTGCCAGGACAGACTCCGGCTTCCTTGTGACCCTTAATTATATGAAGTGGCCAGAAAACAGATGGATATTTACCTGAAGAGTTATAAATAGGGCAAAAACTCATTTAAGGATGAGTTTAGGAAGATAAATTGAAAAGCATGCATTTACAGACAGTGATATATTTTTAAAATAGGTATACACTAAAAGGACAAAATTCGAAAAAACATTCTAAAAATATGTGAACATTTTTTGAGACACAAAATGTCTTAATGAAGTAGTAGTATCTTATAATGTATGCACCTGGGGAAGACAGGCAGTCTTGAAATCGCTGAACTTCTTCATTTAGGCTTTCTAATGTGTATTTTCAGTGGTCACAATTTATTTTTATTTTATTTATTTTAATGGTTGCCAAAAATATCACAAATTAAAATAAAAAAATTACATTATACATATTACTTTTGTACTCTTAGAAGGTCCTAAACTTCAGATCTCCAGCAAAGTCATTACAGACACCGCAATTGTCCAATAAACACACAGAACAATAGATACATGGTAGCCAACTAAGAAGTGCAGAGTGCAGAGGTGTGTTGAATTCTGAGGCATTACGCAGTTAGCTTCTAATGATCTGTACTGCTGTGGGGTAGAAGCTATTGTTAAGCCTTGTGGTTGATGTATTTCAGTGGCTTATGAAGCAGGTATCATAAATGTACTTGTAATAACACTTTAAGTGCGCTCAAGAAATTGTTGTGGTGAGCATCATTAATTGTGAAAGAGAGAGTTTCTCCATTGGTATTAACAACTGTGATGCTGACTATTCCTCTCATACTGTACTTTGGAATTGACTTCTTTACATTCATAATTTGTCGACTTGATAGTTTCTACAAGATATTTTCGACAAATCATCACAATAAAGGGATTGGTGGACTCTAAACAAGGCAGTTTATTGTTATTGTACTGTACATGAACCAATTGCTTTATCCTGATTAGTTGATGCAGAGAATATCAGATAAGAAATGACCAATCATCAGCATTCTTATCTAATAAGAAGAAGGCTTCACAGCTGAAACATTGTGTTTCCTTACTTCTCTTTTCAGCATGGAATAAACCTTTATTTGTTCATATCTTTTACAGGCTCAGTTGCTGACTGTTTAGAATCCAGGCTATTAATCGACTTTCATACAGTATGTTTAGCAAAGTACATTTTGTGTCCAAGTTTATTGCCTGTAAATCAAACAATAATGTTATAATGCTCAAACAATGCTATACAGTATGACCACCTTTCTAGGCTCTATGGTCACTGGCCCAGCTGACAATGTGTCCTGTCCCTGCAGGATTGGCGGAGCAGTGCCCATCGTCTTTTCCTTTTTCTCGGAGGTCCTGGCAAGGGAGAAGAGGGGTGAGCACCTCAGCTGGCTGTGCATGTTCTGGATGATCGGGGGAATTTATGCTTCAGCCATGGCCTGGGCCATTATCCCACATTATGGTGAGTGATTAACACACAAGAGCCCCTCGCTTTCCCTGCTGATGGAGTCAGTAACATTCAATTTGGAAATGTCCTGTTGGCTCTGAACTAAGCTTCTGACACATGTAGACACATTCTCGCAACATCAGAAACCTTGTAGTGTTTTTTTAGCCGAAACAATTATTTTTTTCGCTATCGTGAATAAACAAGGAAACAATTTTCATTCTGCAAAGAGCCACTGTACTGAAATTAATTGTTTGAGTTTATTTCAGACTATGAGATTGTAATAGTTACTTTGCAGGAAGTGCAGGTATTCAAAGCAATGAAATTAATTTCAGGTACAAATAGTCACAGTATTAATATTTTAAGATCTTCTGCTGTGCTCACAGCAACTTTCAAATTCCAAAATATATAATTAATCATGTTTCATGTATTTTGTTAAATATTTCTGACCATTATAATCAATACTTAGTTTATACCACAAATCAGTCAAATATTGTTCATATTGATCATTCCTGTTTATTACAATATTGCTAAACTGATACTGTACAGTCATAGTTTGATGGTTCTTTTTCCTTGGATTGCGAAATGAACAAAGTGAGACAGAAAGTTATAGCAACTTAATTTTCACATTTTCCACAATGAATATAGGTTTTGTAACCCCAGTGTGTTTAGACATTTCTGCTTTTTAGCATTATCAGACTGAGCTATTTAATATTCATATATCTCAGTATTCATAGCAGCATCTGCTTGCTCTGAGGTTAAGCTAAAAATCTTATATTTAGGAACTGTAACTGCAGTGCTGTAATTATGTTTTTATTCAGTAAAAGTTCTGAGCACAATATTGTGATTCATTCAAAATGAATTTTTCAAGCCAAATGCTTCCAAAGTCCCCGGGTTTGAAGATCAGTTCTCCTTCTTTTTGTTTGTGAGGAAACATTTGTTCTTTAACACTGATACACTCCACAGATGGTGATGCCTTCAGCAGTCTGATCACTGCTCCTTAAGTGTCAGACAAGTGGAAATGCTGTAGTATTAATTTGAATTATTTGTACTGTAAATATGTTCCACAAAGTGATCACTCAGTTTTTCCAGTGTGTTGGTGGTTGCAATTTTAACGGGGGGATTAAATGCAGAAACGTATTACTCACCTGCATGTATATGTAAAGTTTGGAAGATGGTGACTGATAAATAATGAGTTATGAAAAACAGTAGAAAAACAGATAATATTCATACCCACAATTCACCACTGCTTTTGAGTCCAACACTAACCTGGAATGGTGTTTGTTCTAATATGGAAAGCAACTGCTTACTGACATTGAAAAGTGTTCCCTGTAAAAGGCATACAGTACTGTATGTGTGCTGGTTTCAGTCAACGATATACCATCTGATAAAACAGCTGTCCAATGCTGCTGACTTTGTTTTTTATGTAAAAGTGGAATTAAAAAGACAGTTTGATGGTTCTGCTTCCTTGCATTTTGAAATGGCCAGAGATCTATAGACAGTCATCGCCATTTTAAATATTTCCATAAATCCATTGAGTATTTGCTTGGACAATCTACCTCCCTACCTTAAACATATTCATCATTTTGACCTTAAGCCCATTTAAACAGTAAAGCTATAATTACACTAATTCCCAAATAGGGGTTAAACAGGGGTCTGTGGTTGAAGGTTGAAGGTAGTGGTTATCAATTATGTCTAATCTGAGAAAGGTCATCTCTTTGAAATCAATTACAAACAATTGCAGTATATAGTTGACTGCCTTGACAAAAGACACACAAAGCATGATAAAATGTCTTCTGTTTCTAACATTTTGGAATGACCATAATAATTTACTTGTATATTATAAGGTATACTAATTCACTTATTAGTCATCCCTGTGTTCTATGCATACTGTATATAATATGTTTGAACAGCTGGAGGATAATGTTTGTAGAAACATGTAATATTACACTAAAAGTCATTAATTAATTATTCTGCTTGTCATTTCACACTTCAATGTTCTATTTGATTAATTATGCTCCATTAGTCAAAGATAAAGTGGTTCATGAAGAAAAAAATGTGAAACAAAGTACCATTTTCAAGCACTGCTTTTTCATCCAGATATCAGTACAGAATCATGTTTTTAGAGGTTAAAGGTAGCAGAGGCAAAACAAATCATGAAATATTATATTACCTCCTTGTCTAGTTTGATTGCATATTGAAAAACTTTGAAAATATAATTTTGAAAAATGAAGATACAATGTTATAGCAGAAATATCTGAGGCGAGATATCTAGGAGAATAATATGCCATACATTGTAAATTTAAAGAAAATAGACCTCAGTGAGGTTGTTTTTTCTTTCATTGATTAGCCATTTATTAATGAATAAAATCCATTGTATTTATTGTAAGGTTTGTTTAGCAACAGAAACTATGAAGCAAAAATAATATGAATATGAATACATAATAAGAATATAGTGGTAGAAAAACAAAATTAAAAAAAAGTGTTATTATGGATGACATTAACAAGAAATACTATTTTTGTGAATGATTAGTATTAAAATAAATGTTTCTAATTGAAAATAGAAACTCAGTTTAAACTACATGCATACTGTATACTATTTTGTATGAGGGAAAGGTCTTGACATTGAGATTAAATTTCTCATGCCGGGGATTTTATGAAACAAACCTATGTTTCTTTGCAGTGGTCACTACAGGAAAAAGAAAATGAGAAAAGGGGAAGTTAGACAATGTGTGTCTTTCCAAGCTCAAATGGGTAACTGGTTTGCTGTACCCATAATGACTTGTGACGTGTAATTTCTCTAAGTGACTGGAGTTTGTGAGGTGTAGGTTAGATGATTAATGTGAGGCTGAACTGGGGTTATTCAAAGGACAAAACAACTACTGCAGCAGAGAAGGGAAAGGGAGACGTAGCACAGTGATTTATCACTTAGTATGAAGCAAGTAAGCTGCACTCATCAATAAAGGAAAGAAATAACATAATGGAAATGATATAAAAGCAGCCTGGTTTGCCAGCTATGCTATATATTTTATTTCTCTTGATCAAGGCTAATTAGTTTTTCTCCTTGCTCTACAAAATGGAACATCCTGTCAATAATGAATTGTGTGTTATTTGCAAAGGAGCACTGAAACACCAGAACATAATGGGTTTTCAGGAAAGAAACTACCTACCTCAAACTCTGACTACAAACAGTGCCAAACAGAGCCCCAGTACAGTGGCAAAGGTACCGTAGGGTGATGAGTTTCATTGGTCTTGCTACTTTAGAGCCAGATCTCAGGCACAGCACAAAACATGAAAAGCAAGATGTTTCTAGAAATTTAGAATGAACTTCACAGTTACAGGTTACAGTCTGTGAATTCAAAAGAAATTCTGTCGTCTTTAAGAATGATAACCTAAACTAGAAACTTTAAGCCACTTTATTGTTCACCTGGCTGGAAAATGTCTCTGTTTCTTTGGTGCTGTGATCAGAAACATACTGGCAGTATATTGAAATACCTGTGCCCATGCTGTATGCAAATAATGATATGCAAGTGAGACTTATACTGTACGTGTACCAGACAGCTAATAGCAATGAACTGTTAATCTTTTTTCCCTGTAAAAGTTTTTTGAAAACCTCCCTGGATCAATCCACACTGTCTTCCTCCATCTTTACTAATGATCCTGCTTTTTGTAAGAAAGCTCCTTCATTCCATTGACACTACATAGGGCAAAGTTTACTGAAACTGCAAAACCTTTAAAAACTGCATATTTTACAACTCACTTCATATAAAAATTGTCCTACTTACTATCACATCGCCTTTCCTGTCACTGATCCTTTGCACAAAGATGTTTATAGCGAGCTACACAAAAGCTTTTCACTAGTAGTCATTGATCCCCCATATGAGAATATTAATATTAAAAAAAATCTTTATTGAGCAAACTGTCATAAAAAAGCACTCTGCTTTGGTTGCATTAGCTTCCTTTAGCTCTTAAGAGCTGCAGCTTATAATTGAGGTCAATTGATCACTTCTAGTTTTTTAACACTTTTCTTTCTGTAACACCTCTCAGAGATGATTGGTTCTGCTGCATTGCTTTCCTTATTGACTAGCCATCAGCTCCAGATTCATTACAGAGACTTGTTTTCTTTCCCATTCTTCTCTTTTCTTTTTTTTCTTTTTCAAGTTCTGTATAATTTGAGGTGGTGCTGGCAGAACTGACTCTGAGTTCTGGCCAAGGACTCTGCAGCTCTGTGTAGGTACATAAATCTCTGGGGCTGCTTCTCAGTCAGTTATACACTTTAGCCAATTACATACATAATCCCCGTAATGAGATTTTCAATGGCATCAGCTAAGCATTAAACATTAACCCTCTGGGTTTCTACACTGCAGTCCTACAGAAAATGCAATTATAACATCACGTCTTTGTGTCTGTGTTAAGAATCCTGATATCCTTCACTTCCCAGTGGTGTGGCTCCAGGGTTCCTTGACTCATAGTCATACACACTGTCATCAGTATTGGGACCCTAATGTAAAACAAATGTGCTCTCTCACACACACAAAATACATGCACCCACCCACGATACACACATGCATTGATGCCCACACACCATAACATCTCCCACGTACAAACGATTGACTTCTGTTTGGTTTTTCAAATTTGACAAAGTTGGAGTCATTTTCTTTAAATGTGCCACACACATAAACCATTAAACCAGTATTTTAAATCCACTGTTTCTCTACCATGTTTTTTAGTTCAAGGAGTGGTTTTTGTCTGTATCTCTGAAGATCTCTAACTGGCCCTTATAGTACATTGCAGAGATCCTCCACATTTTTGTAAGGTATTGTTTTGCAGCAAATGGTAGCCTGAACAAATATGAAGTATAACTCAAGAGAGTGTGGTTAGGCAGTGCAGATCTAGCAAAATCAATTATTTTGGTGACAATTAATTGATCATAAATTATTATAAAACTAAATATTTATGGCACTTGATAGGAACATTATTTTTATTGCTTTTTCCACTAACACCAGCCTTTTCTAGTT